TAGGTGTGGAGGGTCCCAGGACCACCACGGAATAAGTATGGAGGGTCCTGGTTTTGTGCTGCCACTTAGCAAGATGCTGTCGAAGGGCACTGACTTCCTTGCTCTTGTAAAAGGCAACAAGCGTGAGCACGGAGAAAATCAGCATCCTGTTGCTCCAATGAAAAGCTACTTAAAGAGTGATGTGAAGTGGTTTGTTTAGAACCAGCCCTGTGGAAAAGCTTTGCACTTTTTTAAAAATCTTTCTACCCATTGAATAAGACCTCTGCATTCCTCTCTCCCCTCAATCCTTGGCAAACTCTATTTTATTTTCTGCTTCTATCAGGTATTATAGGTAGTTCATCTATGTAGAGAATGGTTGTGTGTTCTCCTGTGACTGACACTGCATTTAGCCAATGTCCTCCAAGGTCAACCATGTGTAGTGTGTAGCTGAATTTGCTGTATTTTCTTCTTTTTTAAGGCTAAAAATGTACTTTGTTATCTGTACATACTACCTTTGCTTTGGGGACAGTGAGGTTGTCCCAATAGTTTAGGTGCTGTGACTAAATCTGCAAAGAAAGTGTTTGTGAGACTACCATTGTGAAATCTTGATTTCAAATGTTCTGAATATGTGTAAAGAATTAGTGTTGTGAGATAATATGGTAGCTCTATTTTTAATGTTTTGGACAATCTACATACAGAACAACTAGGTGTCGTATAGTGCGGTATTCTGAATGTGATCTTGGACCAGAAAAAAAAATTATACAAATACTATGGGATTTAGTTAAGAACAATGAAATGGCTCAGTGGGTAAGGAAGCCTGTTACCAAGCCTGACGACGACCTGAGTCCAATCCCCAGACCCACATTGTTGAAGAAGAGAACCAACTCCCCTAAGCTGTCCTCTGATCTCTACATGCATGTTGTGACACACATGTACTCCCCTACCCCTGTCCAATAAATGAAATACTTAAAAAAAGAAAATATGGGCTTTAGTTAATGATGACATATCAATATTGGTTAATTAGTTGTGACTAACATACCGTAGTAATGTTAAGGTGATGACAATAAGTGGTCTATCTCGGCAATTTTTCTATACATCTAAAACTATTCTAAGATTTAAGGTTTATTTAAATTTTTTTAATGAGCACTGAAGTTTTCAAATTTGCCAAGCACAAATACATGATAAATATTTGCAGTGACAGAAATGTCAGTTCCTCTTATCTGTCCATCACATGTTGTATACACCCTTGTAAGTGAAATATCACACTGTGAGTGAAATTTAGTGGTGCATGCCTATAATTTCAGTCCTTGAAAGGTGGAGGCAGGAAGATCAAGAGTTTGCAACTAACCTGGGCTATATAATTAGTTCCAGACCAACCTAGAGTACAAACAAAAATAACATTGTATCCTATAAATATTTACAATTATTGTGTGTAAATTGAAAACTTCAGGGGCTGGCAGTATACCTCTGAGGTGGGTATTCAATCAGCATGCATATGGCCTTGGATTAAATCCCCAGCATTAAAAAAATAAATAAATAAAATAAAATGAAATAAAAACTCACAAAATTATTTAATGAATAAAGAAAAAAACTTTATTGATACATGCCAAAATGTAATCAGTAGAAGACATATATTTCTTTCACTTTCTTATAGTCTATTGTTACATTATTTCTTAACAAGTAAAACTTTAATATTTTCGCTATTTACTTAACTATTCTTTGTTAAATTGTCCACATTAAACATCAATGAGAATTCACTTCTGGTAAGGGAAATCATAAGTTAAAACGCTAATTTAACCCCCACCCCCCCACCCCCCCGGTTACAATTGTAAATAGTTTTCAGAATTAAATATGGTCGAACACTTCCACCTTGTGGTGATATAGGGTATGGCAGGTAAGACTGACGAGTTTGGGTTTTTGTGGTTGTTGTTGGTTTTTGGTTTTTCTATCCTTAAAACCGTCATCTCCCAATAATTTTGAGAAATACATTCAGCTTGAATAAAAACCAAAAGAAATAGAAATACTGCTGACTACATAATTCAACGAGGACGAGCATCCTACCTTGGTAAGATGTCACATAAGTATGTAGCGGCTCATTTGAAAATTTAGGACTATGCGCTACAATTTGGATCTTGAATGTCCCCCAAAGGCCCTGTTAGAGGTTTGGATGCCTCAGGGGCCTGGGGAGATGACTCGGGGTGAGAGCGCTTGCTGTGCAAGCACCAGGGACTGACTTCAAATCCTTAGACCCACATAAAAAGCCGGGTGTGGCCACAAGTGCCTGTAACCTCAGTGCTGCGGAGAGTGGAGATAGGAGGATCTCTGAGCTTGCTGACCGCCAGCCTGGCTCTAGGTTCAGTGACAGACCCTGACTCTGGGGAATAAGGTGGATAAAGCAGGATATTTGATGCCCTCCTTTGGCCTCTGAGTGTGCATAGGCACATGCACCTGCACATACATGTGTATACACCACATGTATACACACACATGCAGAGAGAGGGAGAGAGGGAGAGACAGAGACCGAGAGAGAGAGACAGAGAGAGAGAAAGAATATGAGTTTGGAATCCCAGGTGTGGCACTACTGTAAGGCAGTGGAAACTTCAGGAGGAAAGGCCTACTGGGAGGAAGCTAGGTCTTTCTCTTTACTTCCTGACAGTCATGGCTAAGCAGTTCCCCACCACATATCTCACAATGACTGTATGGTCCATGGGACCATGGGACCTCCCAAACAGCGAGTCAAAATAAGCCTTTCCACTTTCTAAGCTGATTTGTCTCTGCTATTAATGATGGTGATGGAAAGCTAATACACTTTATAATGTTCTGAATTCAGGATTAAAATTTAGTAATGAGTGTAGTTGTCTATACACTTCTCACACACACACACACACACACACATATACATATATATGTATATATATTCCTCTCTCATTTTGTGTGGTCTTGGGGATTAAGGCTAGGGCCTTACATATACTAGAAAAACATGATCTACATTCCCAACCCTCTTATCACTTTTTATTTTGGGATAGGGTCTTACTAAGTTGCCTAGGCTGTCCCCAAGGCAGGCATGCTTTTAACTTGAGATCTTACTGCCTTGTCTCCCTAGTAGCTGTAATTACAGCTGGAATAAGTTCAATGGTGTATTCACATCATGGTGACTATAGTTAACATCACTCAGTTTACTCTGAATCAATGCTTTACGGAGCATCTTTCTTATACCTTTCATTTAAATATTAGAATCAATCCTTTGGTCATTTTTGTTAGTGGTTCCTGTTGTTAATTTTATTTTTATCTTTTTTTAAATTTTATTTTTATTTTATGCATATGAGTATATTGCCTGCATGTATGTGAGTGCACCCATGTCGTGCAATGCTGTGGAGGTCAGAAGAGGGCTTCGGATTCCCCTGGAACTGGAGTTAAGGATGGTTCGTAGCTGACATGTGGGTGCTGGGAATCGAACCCTGGTCCTCTGCAAGAGCAGTCAGCACTCTTAACCACTGAGCCATCTCTTCAGCTCCTATTTTTATCTTTTACTTGTTCTTTGACAACATTATAAATGCATACGTTGATCATTTCCACCCCCAACTTCCCCCTCCCATTCCCCACACAGGTTGCTGTTGATTTTAGATAGGATCTCACCCTGTAGCTCAGGCTGCCTTTGGTGGTACATTCCTGCAATCCGAGCACTTAAAAAATGAAGCAAGAGGATCCTGAGTTCAGGGCTAGTGTGGAGTCTGAGGGCAAGGATCATGAGAACAGGCCACACAAGCATGTCTTAAGAAAGTGCAGCTCTTTCTCATCTACTTGAAATAACTGATATACAGAGCATTTCCACCTGAGACTCGGTGTGCTAAGGGTGGGGCCATCCAGTAAGTTGGAGTGCACCATCTTCAAACAGTGCTGTTGGTAACATTCTGGGGAATTCTTCCTTGTTTCCCCATTGGTATAAGCTAAGAATTAGTCTGCCTAAATAGCAAGACCACTATAATCTAACAAATGCTTTTGGTGGGGGGTGATGGAGGGTAGGTGTTTTGTTTTGTTTTGTTTTGTCTTGTTTTGTGTTCTTGAGACAGGATCTCACAAGCCGGGGGTGGCCTCAAAATTCACTATGTAGTGGAGACTGGCCTTGAACTCTTGCTCCTCCTGCTTCTGTCTCCTAAGTACTGGGATTATAGTAGTGCATCATCATGCCTGGCTTGCTTTTCTGTTTGTTTGAGAAAGGGTCTCACTGTGTAGCCCAGGCTGGCCCGGAACACTCAATCTTCTTGCCTGGATCGCCTGAGTGCTAGGATTACAGGTGCATACCAGCACACCTGCCCAACATGTGTTTTACTTCCCTTTCCCGCCTCACTGGAAGCTGCGTTGTCTTCCGTTGTCGGTGGCAATGCCACAGTATGATCAATCCGAAACGAGCATTTCACTGCCTCCGCTCTCCCGCCTCTGATTCATGACCGTTTTAGCCAGCCCCTCTGAGCTGTTTTGCAGCAGCAAGTGTGCCCTCCTCCCACAACTCTAGACTAGTCACTGTTTACTTATAAGTCACACATTTATCCATTTGTCTTAGAATTACCACTGTCTAACCCCGTGGCTGAGTAGGTTCTGTGAATGAATAAATGAAAACAAACTCAGAAGCACCGTAGGATGAAAAATAGAACCAAAGAAGGAATCGACCAATAGCAGCAGGATCTTCTGAGGCAAGAGCCGTTTTCCCAGGAGTAGGCCCCTCTCATCCTGTCCAGTCTGGAAACCATATTTAATAATCAAGACCAACCAAATTCTGATAAAGTGACTGAAAAAGTAATCAAGACTCTCCAGGCCAACCTGGGCTACATGGTGCGTACCAGGCCGGCCTGACCTGTGGTAAGACTGCAAAACAACAGCCACCGAAAAGTCTCTACACAGGAGAAGAGTCTGTCCAGGTGTTCTCTGCAGCACGCCCGCCTGGGGGTGGGGCTTGTTTTAGTGGGCGGGGCTTTCTAGCCATGCCCCGCCCTCCGTAGGCTTGGTATGAGCAGGCTGGCCCACGCGGCCTGGCGCGCCCAGGCCGTTTCCTAGGAAACGAAACACACAAGAAGCCCGAGCTTCACAAGGGAGCGAACCAGGTAAGCGGCCGGCGCGGACCGGTAATCCTAAGCGGGCTGCGGGACCCATCCCTGGCCTGAGCTTCGAAGCCGCCCGGCATGTCGCCTCGGCGCCGCGTCCAGCCTGGGCCACAGTCCATCGGGAGGCGGGACCTGGACGCCGGTAGGGGCCGGAGGGAGCCCGGCGGGGCGCCGGGCAGAGCGGCGGGCTGGGCGGCGGGTTCTGGGGCTAGGCTGGGAGGGCTGCTGGGCCCCAGGGCTCCTGGGTTGCAGGGCTGCAAGGCTCCAGGGGTGCAAGGCTCCAGGACTGCAGGACCCCGGGGCTTCCGGGTTGCAGGGCTGCAAGGCTCCAGGACTGCAGGACCCCGGGGCTTCCGGGTTGCAGGGCTGCAGGGCTCCAGGGCTGCTAGGTTGCAGGGCTGCAAGGCTCCAGGGCTGCAGGACTTCAGGGCTCCAAGCTGTCCGCCCTCTGCACCGCCGGATGCTCCAGGTGGGACCCTGCCCTGAGCCGGTGCCCTGGATCCCTGCACATGTTCCAACCCCTGGGCTACCCTGTAGACTAGGGATGCAGGGAAACTGCTTTTAGACGTGAAGCTGTTACCTCTGGTTGGGGAGAAAGTAGAACCGAGTTGGGAACTTAGCGAATCAAAGAAAAGGGAGGGAGGGGAAAGAGAAGGTCCAACTCCAGCCCTGGATGGATGGTGCATCTCAGGTTGTGTTCAGGTGAAAGCTAAGTTCCCGCACGGTACGGAGCACCATCTGTCCCCGAGGACCCGCCCGCAGCTGCCAGACACGCAGGGACACCACCCCCCGCCCCGCCCCCGAACCTACATGACATAGGCTCCTGAAGACTTCGTACAGAAGAATCAAAGAACCTGGGACAAAAACTGTCCCTTTAATGAATTTTCAGTTTAAGAACAGGTGCAGAGCAAGGGGAGAGATTTACGTATTTGTGTTGTTTAGAGCACGTTTGTTGTAATGGTAACGGAATTCTCATAGAGGTCACTCTAATCAGCACAAATAATGGAGTAAAAAATAGCTGTGGGAACAGAAGTCACTTTGAGCCTTTGGGCAATGATGCCCAGAGAGATACTTCCCTTGAGGGAGCTGCCCACCCTCCACTCAGAGCTGGCCTTGGATAGCATGCTAGGTCTCTCCTCCACGTGTGAATGTTAATTTTAAAACAATTTATGAATGTTTGTATAGTGTAACTGCGGTTTTACTTTTGGAGACAAAAGCTTTCTTTCCCCTGTCTGGTGTGCTGGCTCAGGCCTATAAGCCTAACTAACAAGAAGTGGAAGATCAGGTATGCAGGCTTATAATGGGCTACTAAGCCAGTTTAAGGCCATCCTGGGCTACATGAGGACCAATCTGAATTTTTTAAAAGGGGGAGAAATTAAAAAAAAATTTTCCCCATTATAAGCCCCTTTTGAATAATTTTGTCTTTCACTGTTACTTGAGTAGTGTGGAATCTTTTTGTTTTGCTTTTTAACTGATGTAGTAATTCTTAAAATGGTTCTGTTTTCTACAATGTTAGTGGCAACCTTGAAATGTACTCTATTAAGAGACATCCAAATCTTACCTGCCCAATGACTGGCAAACACAAGTTTTACCCTTCATCTGCCCTTTATGCTAATCCTTTTTAATCTTATTTAAATCCCTTATTAGCTAGTTGAGAATTTACAGTATTTGTACACTGAAGCAATAATTGCGCACTTAGATAAAAGAAAATTAGAATGAAAGGAATGAATATTGACTGAGGTTCTATAATTGCGACTCTAAATAAATATCTTTTTTAGGTTGGCATATAATATTTATTTAACTCACAGGAAAGCTAATAAGTATTGGAGCTGAACTGTAGAAAACCTGAGTCCTTAACAATCCTGTTACATTCTTTGAGAGTGATAGTTATGCCAAATTTGCTTGGATTTTGTTTAGTCTTGTTGTGTGCATACCTCATATTTATTCACATACATAAGGAACTGTGTTAATACATTTCTATTTTGCAGAATTGATTTTCCATGGGTCAATGAAGAAGAAATGGTATAGCATATATTATTGTGTGTAGGGTAGAGACCCACGGTGGGTGGTCTGTGCCTTTTCTTGTTATATAGGCTGCTGTTTTAGTAGAGATTGGTTCAGGGCCTTGCTGTGCTACAGCGATGAAAAGTACCTGTTGATTTGGAAGCTGTGAGTAGGCCCATGGGGATATGGCTTTTCTTTCAAAGCTACCTTCAGGGCTGGAGATGGTTCAGTCTGATAAAGTGTTTGTCACACAAGTATGAGGACCTGAGTTTGATCCCTAAAACCCTTGTGAAAAAGCTAGTTGAGCATGGTGGCTCATGTGTGTGTGTTCTTAGCACTGGGGAGACAGAGACAAGTGGACTCACTGGCCAACCAGCCTAGTCAAATTGGGAAGCCTTGTCCAGTGAGAGACCCTGTCTCAAAACAAGATAGCGTCCTAAAGAATGGCACCCAAGCTTGACCTCTGATCTCCACATTTGCAAACACATATGCATTTGCAGCTGCTCAAATGCATGCAGCTGCACACATAACACAGAATGAGTGTGCATCTATATACCTGCAGACGAGCACATACCTGCACACACATACAAACTACCCTCATATTATGCCCCTTTTCATTGAGCCATTGTTCCTATATTTTCAGAGGATGGAAAGGACAGAGATAATGACCTTCCAACCCTGGAAAATTGTCTATTTTACAATTAGCATGGCTCAAGGAAAGCCTGCCTAAGTTTTGTTAGAAAGCAGAGAACATAAATGTTTCACTTAAAGGATTGGTAAGGTTTAAATTGCACAGATTCACACAGGCACAAATCTGACCTTTTTAAAATCTTAACCGGCCTCATAATCATCTCTAGTCCACCACAAAGAGAAAGAAGCTGGCAAACGAGTGTGTTCCTGCTTGATTATTCCCTAAGTATGAGCATACCCTCTTCTACCGCTATCCTCAAAATAAAGTTTGTGCTTCTAGTGTTTATCCGGTGGCTGGTTAGTTTGGCTTAAAATGAAGTTTCCAGAATAGCTTCCAAGCCAGGTGTGGTGATGGATGCCTTTAATCCCAGCACTAGGGAGGCACAGGCAGATGGATCTCTGAGGTTGAGGCTAGCCTGCTACATAGTGAGTTCCAGGCCAGTTGGGGCTACAGAGAGACCCTGTCTCATAAAAAACAAACAAACAAATGGTTCTGCTTCTAGAGCAAGGGGGAAAGTCATCAATGGCTGAGTGATCCATTTGCTCCTGGTACAGGGCACAGGTAAGCAACATGGCTTCCCACTTCAAAGTAATGGGGATAGTATCTGATAATCTCCCAGGGGAAGGACCAGGAGCAGTTCACTGGCCTATCAGGTTGGGTGGATGCACAGTGGTTTTTGCTGATTGTTTCTACCACCTTCTTCCTTTGTTTCTACTCCTGGGTCCTACTCCTAAGCCCACCCCCATCCCTTCCTCTATGCCCCCATACTGTTCCCTTTTCCATTCCTTTCTAAAGCAGTGTTTCTTTTTTTCAACCACCCCCATGACTACTTCTCTCTCATAGTCTCAGTGTTTGTCATCTGTTATCAGGAAAATAATTGGGTTTTAGAGTGATGCTACTATGCCATTATATTTCTGTGTCACATGTGTGCTGAGGCCAGAGGAGAATGATCCGTATCACGCTCCACCTTATTCCCTTGGGATGGGGTCTCTTACTAAATCTGGAGTTAGGCTAGTGGCCAGTAAGCCCCGGGGACCCTCCTATCTCTGCCCTCCAAAGCACTGGCAGTACAGACACACTTGGCCATGCCCAGCTTTTTACTTTTCGCATGAGTTCTGGGGATCTAAATGCAGGTCCTTATGCTTGATCAAGTGTTCTTATTCGCTGAGACATTTCCCCAGCCCCACACCATTATATTTCTGAATTGAACTATTTTAATGACAGGTGCTTCATGTAGATATTTTTTTCTGCTTTAAATTTTCGGGTTCTAATATCCCACACTTTCTTTCCCATCACTGTTCCAAGGACATTTTCAATGTCTTTCCGGGAATTCAGGTGATCCCTGGGTTTCAAGATGGGGAGTAACTGGCCCTGCACACCTTGTCCACTTGCCAGCAGTGGTTTGAAGGAGTGAAACTGGGTTGGGAGCCCTACAGTTGCCTTGTAGTACTGAGGTTCTGTGGTTTAGAAAAGGAGATGGTTCCTTTATACACTGCAGATTATAAAAACCAGTAAAATTTCATAATGGAGATTGTACTAGATTACATTGAGAAACCAAACAGCTTTGAGCCAACCCAAGTATCAGACAGACTCCCTCCTTGATTCTCTGATGGACTATAAACAGTTCACCTAATCCTCCTGTGGTTTTATCTTGCATTCTTGCTAACATAATGAAAGTGATATCTTTTTCCACAAATAAACGCTCTATATTGTTACTTAAGCAGAAAGGATCAATAAACCTAGAGAGAACACAATTCTTCAAAAGGCAGGTGCTTGTCACTTGACTACAGTGGCTGGGAAATAATGGGTAGCAATCTATTGTGCAGGTAATAAAGTGCAAAAATAACTTGAATGGAAACAAATACATTTTAGTCTATAGACTGTTAAATCATAGCACATAGTACAAAAAAGTAAAACTCTGATTCGTTCTCAGACATTTCAGCTATTCCCATAGTTTTGGATTCCCTTATAGAGAAATTAGTCAGTTGGGGATGGGCCATAAAAATCTATTTGAAATGACTCAAATGCCTTAACTTAAAACCTGAAACCCTGAATCTCTAGACAAGCAGTGAGTACTCTTCAGACACTGGGGGAGGCAAGAACTTTCTAAGCAGAACACAAGGAGCACAGGAACTAGCCCCAAGGATCAACAGATGGGTTACATGATTAAGCAAAAGAAACTGTGAGTTGAGCCCACAGAATGGGAGAAAATCCTTACCTCAGACAAGAGGATAATACCCAGAATTTGCAAAGAACTACAGAAGTTAAATACCCAGGAAATAAAACTTAACAATCAACAAATGGA